TAATGCAGCAGCCAGCCACAATCTCTGTAGACTTAGGGCCAGTGAAGTAGTGAAACAAACCACTGTTCTCTGCAACTGCAACTGGTCCCAAGGCTGTAATCCATAATCGTATCATCTCCTTCCACTACTCATTTTAGAGTTCCCTCACCCTTGCCTAATACTTTGGTTGGCCTGATTGCTTTCGGGTGGGGTGATCCAGGCTTTTATTTCTGAAGGGTCTAAGCCTTTAGTTATCTTGCCCTTGTCAGGTTGTAGCTGTTGCAATCGCTGATTTTCTGTTATTACTGCGTATGGAAGTGCCAGTGAATCACCTGGGATCCAGACATATGCCTTCTGACTCCATAGTGTGAAACAGCAACCCTATCAGAGGGATTACCTTGCTGGAATGGTAGCACTTCCACCTGCAGGTTCACAGCCTGAGGAGCCCAAAGAGCACAGATGATAATTGCAGCATGCAGTTCAATGGAACCCACGCTAAGTTCTCTGGGAAACATGCCCTCCCCACAACCAGGTAGAAACTAAGGTTGTGGAGACAATTTAAATGAAAATGGATTCTCATAGAACTAAAATAAAGCCATCTATAAATAGGTCTCTTGCTTTTTCTCTCTTCCCCATTCTGCCAACTGAGATGTTGTTTGAACTTGTTCACAGTTCACAAATCGTGTACTTTTTATAAACAGAACTTTTTAAAAAGAGCAATAAAACATCTGTGCCTTAAAGTCATCTTTTATCAGCATTCCTTACCCCATCACCCAAAATTGTGGTGATCCTTCTTTTGTCTTCTGAGATGTTCTAATAAAAGCTCATCTCTTAGTATCCCACAGGCAGTAGCTTCATTCCTCAATTTAGTTCCCCTGGCTTTAATCCCATGAGTCCATCCACATTCGTGAGGTGCTTTGGCTAAGGCTCTAGCCTGGGCCAATTATTTATAGAGCTTGTACTCTGTGTCCAGCATCATTCTAGGCACTGGGGATTCAGTGGCAGCCAAAGCCAACTTGGTCTCTGTAATCTTCATAGAACTCAGAGTGGAGAGAGAAACAATAAACAGGTAAACAAGATAATGTTATCTAGTGATGTTTTTAAGAAAACACAACATGTTTAGTTCTATGAGAATATATTATGCTTGTACTGAGATCTGAATGTCAATAGGGCCAGCCATGTGAGGACTCAAAGAAAGAGTGTTTCAGGCAGAGGGTCCTGCAAATATAAAATCCCAAAGGTATGAATGAGAATAATGAGGTGAAGGCTTGAAAGTAATGACTTGACACTAATGAGGTCAGGGAAGCGATAAGGCCAGATCACATAGGGCATCTTAGGCCACGGTAAGGAGCTTGAATTCTATTCTGTCCTTAGACAGTAGCAGCCAATAGAGGGTTTTGAGCAGGGGCATGATAGGATCTGATTTGCTTTTAAAAAAGATTCTCTGGCAGCTGTGATGAGACTGCACTGGACAAGAGTAAAATCAGGGAGACCAGGTAGGTGGTAATTGTGGTCGTCCAGGTGATAGATGAGACAGGGAGCTAAGGATACTGACATAGTCTATTACCAACCACATATCTCTAGGTCTCTGTCATTTCCCACCTGCTACTGCAGCTGACTTTCTGCTAGACAAGGAGATTCCCAAGGCAAGGTCACACCCAGAATGAATTAGTAGACAGTAACAAACACATGTTGAATGAATCTGTAGCAAAAACTAACTTCTCTGAAGGGCTTTAGCAACGGCAAAGCCTTTCCTCAACTCACTATTTGATCCTCTCAACAAGTCTTCAAGGTACCTGTGATTAGGACATAAACTTCTCATATCCTCTCTGATTTAATCCTTGCCATGACCGTGTGAGATAGGTGTAGTATTAGTACATTTACAACTGAGAGATGAGCAAACTGAGGCTTAGGAAAATTAACGAACTTGCCAAAGTCACATAGTCAACCAATGAATAGTGACATCAAAGTTTGTACTCAGGTCTCCCTGAGAACATGAGATACATTTTGTTGACTTTCATAAAGTAAAACTTTGCCTCCAAGCCTAACTTGTTTAATCAGCCCAGATATCCTTATCAGAAGCCTGAGGATCTATAATATACTATTGGGTACAGATATTACCTTTCTCACTCCTTCTCTTACTTTTTGGCTGAATCTAGTTGAGTCACCTTAATTCCTATTGGCCCTATTTAATCTATAACGAATAATTTGATGGGGCAGGAGGGCAGAAACAAACAAACAAATAAAAACTGTTGCTGATATCTCAATCGTCTGCTTTACTCAGCAATCAAGACGCTGTGTTTCTAATTGACAGAAAATATCTTATGCTCCAGCTACTCAGAAATTGAGGGCTTGTTCAAGGATTTTCATGACTTAGCAGGACAGAATCTGTCCTTTATCAGGAACAAAATGGTAAGGCATCAGCAAAACCTTACTACTGAGATTAGAGAAACACTCATCCATTTGGTTCTCTGAGATAGTTCTCAGTGACAAGTCCCAGTGTGCCATAGATAGAAAACTGGGACTCAAAAACCTATCACAAATATACATAAAAATCCTTCTAGAGAAGTGATAAAATTCATTTAATTTTCCATTAAACTGTGTTCTTAGAGGACAAAAACTGTGTCCTGTTTATCTTGTAGCATCTGGTCTAGAGCTGGGCTCAGAATAAGTGCTCCATAAATATTTGTTGAATAAATTCCTAAAATCTGTAGATGAATATAACTAACAAATCTATTAAAAAGACATTCACAATGCTCTAGAACTTCACTGTCCAATATAGTTACCATTATTCACATCTGGCAATTGGGCATTTGAAATGTGTCTAGTCCAAATGGAGATGTGGTGTAAGTGAAAAATTCACACCAGATTTTGAAGACTTGGTATAAAAAAAATGATAATAGTTTGGATATATTAGGTTAAATAAAATCCATTACTAAAATTAACTTCCCCTGTCTTCAGTGTGGCTACTAGAGTATTTAAAATTATACATGTGACTCACATTATATTTTGATTGGACAGCACTGCTCTAGAAGGCAAAATAAAGGTCAGAAAAAAAATGTTTTTAAAGGAAACGGCAAGCCTGTAATAGGTGATACTTTCTACACTTTTCATTTTAAACTTACCAAAAAAAGCTTAAGTTTCTTCCAAGTTCTGCTTCTCCCATGGCAAACAGAGGCCATGAGAATTCTGCCTAGGTCAGAGCAGACTGGCAGCTCCTGAACTGAAATGTGCCTTGCAATTATGGTTGACTGGCAGAGTAAAATTCTCTAAAGAAGTGAATTAGTGCGTGTGCCTGTAGTCCCAGCTACTTGGGAGGCTGAGGCAGGAGGATCGCCTGAGCCCAGGAGTTTGAGGTTGCTGTGAGCTAGGCTGACGCCATGGCACTCTACCCCGGGCAAGAGTGAGACTGTCTTAAAAAAAAAAAAAAAAAAAAGAAGTGAATTAGTTGCCACCATTTTTAAATAGGCAGATTTCATATGCAGATCAAAATTGGTAGGTGCTCTTTTTTCAAATTAGCACATTTATTTTTTAAGGTTTACAATGTGCTTTTTTTCCCAAATAAAATTTGTATATATTTATCACGTACAGCATGATGTTTTTAAATGCATACTTTGTGGACCGGCTAAGTGAGCTAATTAACATGTGTATTACCTCACACACTTGCCACCTTTTGTGATGAGAATGTAGGTGTTCTTAAAAATAATGGGCAGTTCCGGCAATACTGATCTTACATGGAAGCCATCAGCTGCCGCTAAAAGACAGAAACCACTACTAGTCACAGAACTTCAGTTTTCAAAGCCCTTTCTGTCTTCTGTCTCGCCTGATCAACCCTATGAAGTGGCCCGGGGTGGGATTCCACAGATGGGGACTACACTGGACAGTGGGACCCAGGAGGCCGACTGCCTCGCTGGGAGTCACAGACAGTCGGTGGAAAAGCATGTACCAGACCCAGACCTCTCTGCCTCTCCAAGGCCTTCTGGAAAGTGGACAGAGGAGGCAGATGACAGAAGAAAAGAAGCGGGAATGAAAAAGAGACCTAAAGGGAAGTGGTTTCGCTTTTATTTATGGCCTTAAAATTTTTTTTTAAACAAAGGGAAGTAGCAGACTAGAACGGGCAGGGAAAGTGCAGAGGAAGGTAGAGATTGAGCAGTGGTGACAAGGCAGTGGAAATAACAATGTGGACAAGGTAAGGGACAGCCTCCCGGGAGAATGGCAGAGGCGGCATGTCAGGGGCCGCTGGGGAATCTCATTCACCAATGGCAAAACTGAGTCCAAGTGCTTTGCCCAAGGATGTCCAGCACTTTGCAAGATGGCATCTAGAACCCGAACCTAAGTCTCTGGATCCCAGCGCAGGGATTTTTCTTCGGTCTGCCACACAGACAAGGGGCCAGTGGGCAGGGCCCGCGGCACTAAGTATGGAGAGATGTGAGAGGCGTGAGCAGACGTTGGGCCGAGGCTCCAGCACCGCGGCAACCACGTGCATGGAAAGTTCTGCGGAAGGCTGGAAGCGCCATTAACATTCAAAGACCCAGGGAGCCGCGCCCAAGCTTTCCTAGCAAGTGACCCTGAAGCGGTAATTTAAACGTGGCCAAAGCCTTCCCACAGCTTCCGGTTCGAAGGCGGCGTAGGACATGCCTCACCAGCATTCGGGGACTTTCGGAACCTCCCGAGGGATGGTCAGGAGCTTTTGGAAACTGAGGAACATCAAACGGCCGATATTTCAGAACGGCCACAGTTTCCTGAGAAACCTTGCGGAACACAGGTGGTTACCGGAAAATGGTCTAGGAACAGTCGAAATCAGCCGAGTGCCATTCGGGACATTCCGGAGCTTCTCGAGGCACTTTCGGACTCTCTCGGCTCCGCGATCTCATCCTGAATCTTAGGTCTCTGGTAGATCCGTTCGTCGTTTAAATGGTAAGGGCGACTTGTACCGATAGTTCCTCGGCAGCTTCCGGAAGTGTTCGGGATGGGCCCCCTGGCGGCGGCTTCGGAGAGTGGGCCTGCGCGCGCAGACGCAGTTGCTTGCCGGCGGTCAGACGGACCGGATGTAGTTGCGGCTGATGTCAGTTCCGGCGGGTGACGGTGCGGACGGGTCAGGAGCGTAGAGGCGGCGGCAAAATGGCGGCGCCTGAGGAGCGGGATCTAACCCAGGAGCAGACAGAGAAGCTGCTGCAGTTTCAGGTAGCAGCGATACTCCGTGCAGCAAGTGCCGCTGCAAGATAGGGAGTGGGCCCCTATAGAAGCGCAGAACCCTCCTCAGATTGGGCCTGGATCCTTCTCAGACCAGCGGCCCACCCCCTCCCCCCAGACGCCAACTGCCCTGATTCCCCCGGCCCCTCAGCCTCTATTGGTAACTAGCCTTCCAGCCATCGCTGCGGCCTGACCCACCTACTGTGTGCCCCTCTGAGGGTATCCTCGGCGGGTCAGCTTCCCTGGTTTCCTTTAGCGGCGTCAGTTCTCAGCCATCCTTCCCAGCTCGGTTGCTAGTCGGACTCTCTCCGCGCGATGACTTTATCTGCCGGAGATGCTTAATCCCCACTGCGGAGTTAGCGTCAATTCGAGTCTGTGGAAAGCCTCCTATGCCGTTTCCACAAACATTTACTGAGAGCTACTTGGGTACCAGGTCTCGTGCTGGGGGCTCTGGTATGGGGGAGGGAGCACCTACTCGCAGTCCTGGTCCCAGCCCTAGAGCTGTGGGAGGACACGATGTGAGGAAACAATGCACGATTGTAGGTATCATCAGTGGCTTCCGACGGGGTGTATTACTTTGGGTTTATCCCCGGACTCCAGTGCTTGATTATACTTGAGGAGGGTGGTAACTTGCGGGAATGTTATGTTTATGCAGGATGTTTTGTTAAGAACATTTGGCACTAATCACTGGGCTGGAGAATCTGGTTGGAGGAGACCACTAGGGTGGGTAATTTGGGCATTTTGTTAACAGCTTCCTTATCTCCAAAATGCATGTCTTGAAAATATCTACTCCCTGAGGATGTCCTGGAGATCTGATGAGCTTATGGATGTCAGAAGGGCTTTGTAAACTATGTAAAATGTGCTAAATATTCATTTATTTAGCAATATATCTGAAGAACCTTAGCGCTCGAGCACTGGTAGGTAGAATCGCAACTACCATTTAAGATGTTGTGAGTACTTTGCTAAACACTTAGCATACATAATCTCATTTAATACTCAACAACAACCCTAAGAGGTTCATGCTGTTACAATCCCTATTTTACAGATGAAGAATATCGGGCTTAAGAAATAAGCCTGTGGTTGGGCGCGGTGGCTCACGCCTGCAATCCTAGCACTCTGGGAGGCCGAGGCGGGCGGATTGTTTGAGCTCAGGAGTTCGAAACCAGCCTGAGCAAGAGTGAGACCCCGTCTCTACCAAAAATAGAAAGAAATTAATCGGACAACTAAAAATATATAGAAAAAATTAGCCGGGCATGGTGGCGCATGCCTGTAGTCCCAGCTACTCGGGAGGCTGAGGCTGGAGGATCGCTTGAGCCCACGAGTTTGAGGTTGCTGTGAGCTAGGATGACGCCACGGCACTCTAGCCCGGGCAACACAGTGAGACTCTGTCTCAAAAAAAAAAAAAAAAAAAGAAATAAACCTGTGAGATTTAAAGCCAGATCCATCTTTCCATAACCTTTCCCAGGTTTTTGACTTATGTGCTGTACAACTTAGATAAGTGTACAGCTGAGGGTAGAATACAATGCTGTGATAATAAATCCGATTTTTTTTTTTTTGGCGATTTCTCTCTTTTCTGTAATTTCCTTGATAAGATTTCACTATAATTTCAAAGTGCTTTTTTTCCCCCCTTCTTAAATTGAGCAATGGGTTGAAAGTATATAAATGGAAAAATGCAATCATGGACATTTGATTGGAGTTTTTAGTAGAGAAAATTGATGACATAGCAAATTAGAATTAAAGAATGAATGAACAGCAGGCAGCCAGCTTTCACTTCCTGGCAGATGACCAATTTCAGAGTTTTGTTTAACTTGAGCAGATTATTTTACTCCTTAAAACTCTTCAGAGATAAGACACTATGTTGTTTAAGTATAATAAAGTGATGTAAGTTATAAATCATGATGTCTTTAGTCCTGTACTGGAAGAACATGAGTATGAATATGTGGTAGCATATCTGAGGTAATGTGCATAGGAATCTCCATTTTTGTCTTCAGTGGATGTCTATATTAGAAGAGAGGTGAGTAGCAGGTTCAAGTTGTGTTAAGGTTGCTTTATGAAATTGGATTTATTGAGGGAAATGCATTTTACATTTTTGTGTTCTAGAAGGAATTGCTGGATCAGATTCATCATCTAGATTGCCATTAAACGTTGTTTAAAGCTTACTGGGTGTCAAGCATTTATGCCAGGCAGTTGATATAGATGAACTCCTTCAAACTTCTTTATATAACACTGTAAATGGTTAACCCTTGTTCATTTTATTAATGAAGAAACAGGTTCTGAGAGGTCATATAACTTGCACTTGTAGTAAGTGGTAGAGATTTAGAAATCCACATCCATAACCATTTTGTCTAATCTGGTGGAGAAGTCAGGTACATACATGAATAATGAATATCCTGCAAGATATTAATGCTCTTAGTGTAATATTGATTTAAAAAAAATGCAGTGGGAGCTTAGGGAAGGGTAGGAGTGTTGATGTAGTGGATAAGGATGGCTTAGCAGTTAACAGTTAAGTATCTACTATGTCTTAGGCATGGTGTTAGATAATTTATAACTATTATGCTTAATCCTTACAGTAGCCATGTGAAGTACCATAGGTGGTTTGCCTGCTCCCAGGTAAGGAAGCAGATCTATTGATGTATTTGCTCAATTCTAGTGGAATTCTAGTGGTCTGGATCTGGACTTAAAGACTGGACTCTTACCACTATCTTGCTACTTTGAAGGAGGAATAGAATTTCAACAGGTGTTGGACAGGAGGATGGTCAAAGCCAAGGAGATAGCTTATACAAAGTATGGAGATGGAAGTGTGGAGTGTGTCTGTAGTGATGGATTTAGAAAATAAGAGTGGACAGGTAAATTAGAGCCAGATTTTTGAGGCCTTTCAAAGCTGTGCACAGTGGTTTAAACTTTATTCTGCAGGTGTGGGAAGTCATCAAAGGATTTTTCCTAAGGAGTGAGGAGTGACAACACTAGGTTTCAGGTTTGCTTCACTAACAGTATAGAGCATGTGCTTGGAATCTCCACAGGTGTCAGGACAGAACAAGGTGACATTCCTAGGAGCTGGTTTAATGTGTTTCCTAATTAGCTGTATTGAAATCAGTGAAAGTAAATATTTTGGAAATCTTAGGTTTCCTCTGTTTCAGTTTTTTTGTGACATGTGATTTGATTGCAGTTCCCCAAGGCATATTTATCATGTTTCTCAGCCCATTTAATGTCTTCTAAAACTTTTCTGTGGTTCTTTATTTCTCCTATTTGTTTTGGAACCAGTCGAGTATCAATAACTGTTGTAGACTTAAGTCGTTTCAAATGGGAAAGAATAGAGACATAGGTTTTAAGAAGACTTAATGCAGATGGAAGGTGACTTTTTTTGGAGTCCATTTCTCCAAGTTTTCAAATATATTAAACTCCCCTAGTGCCTTGGTTTACTGCCTCTAGGTTGATGCTTGAACACCTGGAGAAGGATGACATGGACAGAGAGAAAGGTGACTAAAGGAGCTATGCATGGCAAGTGGAAGAAGAAATGATCCCTTTACTGCTTGTACAGGAGTAAGAAATTTCTTAACTTTTAAATGGATATTAGTGTATGATCCTCATTCTCTTAAATTATGGAAAGCTTGAACTCTGGGCTATAGAATATAATTCATCTTGAAAGTCTTCCTTTGGCTTCATCCTATTATTACCTAAAGGGAAAAAATACAAGGTGCCCCCATATATTTTTAAAAAGTTATAATCTGTGTTTTTTTGCCAGGGAGTTTGGCATTGTAAAGAAAACATGAGCTTTGAAACTTCTTGCAAACATGAATTAGCCTTTCAGCTTAGCTTCTGGTGAGTTCTGCAATCCTGAGCAAGTTGTGACTTCTTTGAATCTCTTTCATCATCTATCAGATGGAGATACTATTATCTAATTCACAGCATTTTTTTCTTTTTTATGTTAAAAAAATTTACCTAATTGCTCATGATTGTTGCAAATTAACAACATAAAATTGTATAAAAAAAGTAATTGAATCTTATTCCTTCATCCTAATTCCAGGTTTGTTATATGTCTTTGTATACTTTCATGCTAGGATAACAGGTGTGAGCCACCATGCCTGGCCTTTCTTCTGTATATACAGATATACAAACTAATGTTGAAGCTCTCTTATCCTAACCTTCACTTGACTGATTAGTTGGAATAGATATCTTCTATTTCCTAAGGTCTTTTCTCTCTAATATGCTCAAGTGTTTCTGCTCTCACCGGTTGAGTTGTGTTTTGTTTTGTTTTTGTTTTTGAGACAGGATCTCACTCTGTCACCCTAGGCTGGAGTACAGAGTTGTACCTTTGACAAGAGTCATTTATGGCCAGGTTCAGTGGCTCAGCCTGTAATCCTAGCACTTTGGGAGGCTGAGGCTGGCGGATCACTTGAGACCAGGTGTTCCAAACAGCCTGGGCAACATAGATGTCTTCTCTAAAAAAACATTTAAAAATTATTTGGGAATCTTGGTGCATGCCTGCAGTCCCAGCTACTCGGGAAGCTGAGGCAGGAAGATTGCGTGAGCCCCAGGAGTTTGAGGTTGGAGTGAGCTATGATGATACCACTGCACTCTAGCAAGCCATAGAGTGCGACCCTGTCTCAGAAAAAAAAAACCAATTATGTTTGCTTCCAAACCAGCATGTGACCTCCTCAGATATTGGTTGGAAAAAAAAAAAAAACAGTGTGTGCTGGTCATGTTTGTCACATAAATTTAATTAAATATAATGTAAGCCAATAAAATACCAGTGCAATGAGTTTTCATTTATATGAAAACTAAATGCTTTAGAAAGGCTATATGGGGCAAATTGCTGAAACAAAACAGAAAAAATGCCATTCAGTTACATGTGGTAACTGTAACTGTAGATAACTGTAAGATAACTGTAAATGGCTGGGAAAAATCACTGAGATGTAGGATTGTGCACTTTCTGCTTGGCAAGTGTTTAAGGCTAGTGCGCTCCACTTAAAAAAATCGAATCAGTGTGGTTT